GTTTCAGAATATACGGTTTCTGCTTCGCATGAAAGCATGTTCCCTTATATTATTATTATGTATATTTTGTCCTTTTTTCAACTGTAAATCGTACTTCTCTCCATGTTATGCATTCCACAGGTACCAGAAGAAAGCGGCTAATTTGATTCAAGAGTACACTGCTTCTTCCAACGAGGTAATTCATAGATGTTCACATGCTCATCTTTTTCAGATAAACGTGGGCACACTGATCGAATTAATTACCTTTTCATATCACCTAGGTTGCTCAAGAGACACTCTCTCTGATGAGGACTGTGCGAGTATATGGAACAGAGAAACTAGAACTTCGAAGGTAATGGCATGCTTTATTCACTACTGGATTTTTCGTTGCATTTACCCTTCAAAGTTAAAAGGGGCAATGAAGCATAGAATAAGGGATTGACTGATTATGTAAATCTTTGCTTATTTTATGGAGTGTATAATTAGGGATTGTGGGGGCATTGATTCTTTGGGCTAAAAAAGATTGAAAAAGTATAGATCATATACTACCTTGTAAAGAATCATGAGTATTCCAAAAAAAAAAAAAAAATTATAAATAAATAGGGATTAGGGACCATCTCTTAGAAGAGAGGGTATCCCGTAGAATTGGAACAATTAGCTCTAAGTAGCTGCGGGCAAGAATTTATTCTTGTTGGAGGGATATTCTTCGAATTCCCTTGTTTTTCTTTCCTTTGGTTTAACTTTATAATATCACAATCTCCTAGATTTCTTGGTTCAAATTCATCCTGTCTCTTTACTCTTATCAGGCAAAGATGCAAACTTTATACGTATACTCATTTTGCATCACATAATTCTGACCGAGTATTGTATGGGCCTGTTTATTAAAACAGATATTCAAAGTGGCTGGGTAAATTAGCCGATATAAGCATGCGACAAAACGCTGCCTATGGATTTTGGAACTTTAGCTTCAACACTCTCTACCACTCAATGCAGGTTAGAATCTCGTAACACCTTCCTTATTGCCTTCAGAAACTTAGTACTGTAATAATACATTTTGATTGTTTTAGGCATGAAAAGAGAGAGTATGATACTATTGTAAGATCCTCTAGTGTTTGTTTGACACCTAAAGATTCTTTATGTTGAAAAACAAAGGGTTGTGTCTGTTTATATATGAATAGGTGCTTACTTAAGACTTATGTGTCTCTATATATATGTGCGGTGTTTCTTCATTAGAAACTTAGAATTATAGTAATATATTAAGTATTATATACATTTTCTCATTCCTTGATTCTTCATCTCTGCTTCTGCCTGGGTGATTGTTATTCTCCACCTGCCAGGCCTTTGAATCATTCAAATTCAACAATTTATTTATACAAAAAGTAATTTTGATTTAACAACTCTAATTTTTATAGGTTATTGCTGTCCTAGTAGGAGGAATGTTTATACTGGCTGGCCATATATCAGCAGAGCAACTTACAAAATTCATCTTATACAGTGAGTGGCTTATCTATTCCACGTGGTGGGTGGGGGACAATGTGTCATCACTAATGCAGTCCGTTGGGGCGAGTGAAAAGGTTTTTCGCTTAATGGATCTTGAACCAAGCAGTCAGTTAATTTCCAAAGGTCTGCACCGTTTTACATTCTTGCCTCTCAAGTGTGTTTCTTCTTTTTATTCATTCAACAATATGTCTATTTGTTGGTAAAACAAATGGATTTTTTTGTGTGCATATATCAATCAATGTGGCAATGTGATGTTAAACGGTATCTAGATGGCAAATTTCGTACTTTTTCTAACAAAACATTAGGGACAAAATTTGCAATTCAGTTATAGCTTAGGGACGAGAAGTTAGCACGACCTGTTAGAAAAAAGACGAAATTTGCAACACAGTTATAGCTTAGGGACGAGAAGTTAGCACGACCTGTTAGAAAAAAGACGAAATTTGCAACACAGTTATAGCTTAGGGATGAGAAGTGAGCACGAGCTATTAGAAAAAAAGGACGAAATTTGCAACGTTAGTTATAGCTTAGGGACAAGAAGAAGTTACAATTACCCTATATAACTTAAGGACGAAAAGTGCAATTTTCCCAAGTTATTATCTCTTTATTCTCAACTTGCTTGGTGGATGTAAACATGTTGCAGGATTGAAGTTACAAAGATTGTCAGGTCAAATTGAATTTAAGAATGTTTCCTTTTGCTACCCTTTTAGGACAACGGTATGTTTATTCCTATTTTTCTAAATGAGATCCTATGCATAAATCTAAATCTATCATGGCAAAAATGGGAGAATTAAAATATTTTGACTTCCAAACAGGTGCCAGTACTGCGACAGATAAACTTCACAGTGCATCCTGGTGAAGTTGTAGCAATTGTAAGTGTTTCATCTTTTCGGTATTGAATTTTTGTAGTTTTCAGCTTCTGAAGAGTCTCGTTGTATGTAATACCCGTATCTTACAAGTTACGAGGTTCACTAAACCATTTTCCCAATCTACTCTTACGAATTATGATTAGCCGACTTTAATTTTGCTTAGGTTGGTCTTAGTGGTAGTGGGAAAAGCACTTTGGTGAGCCTTCTTCTCCGCCTTTATGAGCCAACAAGTGGCCAGGTGAACCTTCTTATCTTCAGTGCATTATTTTAATTATCATTTGGACCCCTATAGAACAACCACCGCTGATACAATCAGCAACCGCTAACCGTTGATTGCCAGCCATTAGATTGGCCCGGTATGTATAAGATCAAAGATTGAGTTGGGCAGATCTTTCCCATTCATTTTCCTGTTTTATTTTGTTTGATTGTTTGTTTCTGGTCCATTTCTTTTCATAATTATTTTTCTTATAAATTGTAACTATAGATATGTGTTGATGGATACCCAGTTAGAGAGCTGGACATTAAGTGGTTCAGAGAGAGGATTGGCTATGTGGGACAGGTTCTCCTTCGAACATATGGCCTAACTGAATTTGAATTAGATTTTGCATTGTGTTTGAGTCTGGAGTTTTTTTGTACAGGAACCTCGGCTTTTCCGCACGGATATCAGTTCAAACATAAAATACGGCTGCGCTCGGAATATTAGTGAGGAGGATGTGGAATGGGCTGCGAAGCAGGCCTTTGCTCATGGTTTCATTTCGTCTCTGCCCCAGGGCTACCAAACTCTTGTTGATGATGAGTTGCTGAGTGGGGGACAAAAGCAGAGAATAGCAATTGCTAGAGCCCTTCTTCGAGACCCCGACATTTTAGTTCTAGATGAGGCTACTAGTGCTCTAGATGCGGAGAGTGAGCACAACGTCAAGGTATTTTCTTCTTGTTTTCTCACCACTCAAAAATCAACAACTAACTTTTGAAATCCTTACTCGTATCATTTTACATTGAATGAATATAGGGCACCCTTCGTGCAGTCAGAAGAGACTTAAACACAAAGAGGACTGTCATAGTAATTGCGCACAGGTTCCTCCTCTATTACTCTATTTCCAAATCAACCAACCTCTCAACTTTAGCCTAAACTATTCCCCAACCTCTTTCTACAGACTTTCTACCATTCAAGCTGCTGACAGGATAGTGGTCATGGATAGTGGAAATATCATCGAGGTATGACGCTCCGCAATAATTCAAACCTATAATTTTTCTCAGCTTTCTTTTTCATTTTCTATATGTTATTGAAAAAATAAGAGAGAACATATATGTTTATAAGGCCATGGGTTAGACTAGCTAATTGATTAGATTCAGTCTTTTAGTGTGGTTTGGTCACTTTGTGTGTTATCTACCGACTTTATCTTTATCCTCCTTTTTGGTAATTAGTTTCTTTGTCGGGTTGGGTTAAGTGGTCCTAACTTCTTGGCCTTTCATGCAGATGGGCAACCACAGCGAGCTGCTTCTCCATGATGGCTTGTACGCACGACTAATTAAACGACAGGCTGATGCTGTGGCGTGAAGTAAAGACCATCAAAGGTTTATGGTACGTTCTGACATCTCGTCCTCCTTCGTATACAACTCCATTGCAAGATTGCTTCACGACCATATATACTACCCCGGCATAACCCCAATACGTTGATTATAAGTCTGTTTAGCGGAGAAAATTGAATTAGCTGCAGAGCTTGCTGTTTTTAACAATCAGGTTCAGCAGCTTCTGTCAGATTATTTAGCATTCATATTTTGGTATTTTTTAACATTATTTGTTTCTTGATCATTTATGCGGTCCAACTTTTTTAAGGATCACCAAGCCTGTAAAATTCAAAAAAATAATAATTACTAGTGTACATTTTTCTATACGAAAAACCCTGTTCTTTTTGTTCCAAAAAGTGCAGTTTGTGTAGAAGATTTACAATGTTTTTGTTTCCGTCTGAAATAGCTTAGTAAGTTGTTTTTGAGGATAACAAATTAGTTTATCTCAATAGTTTTTCACCCAAAAGGTTGAATCCCAATCTCAAGAGTCCTCACACCTCGATCCGATGAAGCATTTGAAAAATTGTAAATCACTGTGACTCAATGGCTTAACATACATGGCCAAATAGTAATGTGCACAAGGGATTTGTCCACTTTGGGTATAATTTTCACACAGTCGCCGTCGAGATTCGAACTTTGATCTCTTCTCCTAAATATTACCTATTGAACCATTGAGCTAAACCATGGCTCTACGTACCGGGCCAAAAGTCAGTGCACACAAAAGATTTGTTCACTTGAGTATTATCTCCACACTGTCACTTGAGTATTATCTCCACACTGTCACCGTCGAGATTTGAACATTGGTCTTTTCTCTCAAATACTGCCTACTGACAATCGTTATATCGTGCATCATGTCGCACAATGCATTGTGCGCCCCGTCCTACCCAAAACGACGTCGTTTTGGTTTATTGTCCAAAAAAAAAATCCTTTGTTTCGAATGCACATAAACTTATAACAGAATACACATAATCTAATATAATACATAACTAGTAGTTCCACCCGTGCGATGCACGGCAATATATTTCAACCATATAATATATATTATTGTATAATAAAAAAACACTGCCTCAAACCAATTCAAATGTATTAAACATTATTGAATACTTCTTTATATACGATGTTTGTAGTCGTATTTTTCGATTGTACATTTTCGTCATAAATAAGAATTTTTAATCCCTTAGGATTACTAACTCTTGACAATGCTACATACATTTGACCATGATTAAAAACCGGCCTCTTCAAAAACAAACCCACGTTGGACAGTGTTTGGCCATGACTTTTATTTATTGTCATTGCATATGACAACATTAGCGGAAATTGCTTTCTTTGGAATTTAAACGGCAATCTTGGATCAGAAGGTGTTAATGACATCCTTGGAATTAAGACCTTTGTACCAGCACTTGATCCAGACAGTATTTGAGCTTCTAAAACATGATCCGCCAACTTTGAAATAATCATCCTTGTACCATTGCACAATCCCAATGAGTGATCAATATTTCTTAAGAGCATAACTGGGGAGCCAACTTTTAGAGTCAATGAGTGATTTGGAACTCCAGAACATCGTAAGCCATTTAAAAATTCCGGGGTGTGCAGATCAGCAAGCATGTCAACATTAGAATCAGATTTGCATAACGAATCACAACTGAGATACGTCCTTCCTTCAGCGTTGTTATAGTCATTCATGTATTCGTTGACTGTATCTACAACATCCAAAGTTGGCGCAAGTATTGCACGATCTTTTAGATATTCATGATCTCTGTAGCCACTTCGAAACATAGGGAATGTGCTATCAACAATTGTAGCAATAGGATCCTCTCCACAGTTGAGCAAAAATTATTCCGGAATATTTATCTCAGATTCTCCATCCATTGAATCACCAATTGTTCCATCACCTATATTAGCAATCCACTTTGCAAAATCCGCAATCTCTTGAACTTCACTATCTGATTTCAAAGCCCTAAGCCGTAGATTCTTTGTTAACCTAAACACTTTACAGCTTCTCCAAAGATAGGAAGAATTTATACTTGCTAGCACAATATCTTGCCTCGTGCCCTTTGGAATGACTGGTAGAATCTGTCTGAAATCTCCACCTAACACCACTGTTTTTCCACCAAAAGTCATATCAAAGCTGTTTGGATTCTTGGCACGCATTATATCTCTCATAGAGCGGTCCAACGCTTCAAAGCAGAATTTATGCATCATTGGTGCCTCATCCCAAATGATCAACTTACATTGCATGATCAAGTGTGCCAAAGGACTGCTTTGGCTGATATTGCAGGTTGAATCTTCGTTAACAGCGATGGGTATTGCGAACCTTGAATGGGCAGTTCTTCCTCCGGGTAATAGAAGAGAAGCTATGCCACTCGATGCAACGTTCAAAACTATCTCACCCTTAGACCTTAGAGCCGAAGATAATGCTCTCCACAAGAATGTTTTTCCCGTTCCACCGTATCCATAAACAAAAAAAAGTCCTCCAAGATTATTCTCAGCATCTTGCAATACGTTGTCATATATTGTTCTTTGCTCTTCAGTTAGTTTCTCCACCAAAGTATCATTCTCTTCCTTCATTACATTAACATCATATGCCAATTCCTCCTGTATCAGCCGATTAGTTGTTCTAGAATGATTAACTAAATCGGGTATGGGCATCCCTTGAAAGTCTTTCAGACTTTTTCCCATAGCTGAAAGCATTATTTCTATCTCCGTAAGTGCAAAATTCTTCTTTTCATCTTCTGATATAATCCAATCTGTGATAACATTATTAACAACTATTATAATTTTTTTTGGTCAAATTGTATCGTAACAGTAAAAATGAAAAAATACAATACCTGGAATTCCCAATTCTTGTCTAATCTTGAATTGTGCATCGTCGGACAAATGAATCCACGCAGCTTCCCACACCACCTCTGGTTTTGCTATCGAGTTAGTCATCAAGAGAGTGACAAACAATCTTCTCAAATTCACAGGTGTTGCCCAGTGACTTGCTTCTTCTATAGCATGAACATATTCCCTGTCGTCATCTACTAATCCTCTAGCACAACACGCATCCCTAAAAGATTCATATTGGACCCCATCAACTTTTTGTATGTCTAAATAACTTGTGGGACCTTTGACTTTATTCAAAAGACACCTCAAATAAAATATCTCCCCTGACCCAGGAGGCACATAGAATACTCTACCGATTGAAAATCCTCTTTTCCTTGGTTGCCATTTTCTAATATCTTTCTTCCATACAAATTTCGTTGGCATTTCAGCATATGTCAAATTCCTTGCTTCAGGGTAGGTTTTATTTGCCTCAAACCATTCTAGGAACATGCTTTGTAAGATTGTTGGCCGGCTGAGAATGTTGTCAACGGGATCATCATCTGCGAAAACAACACTTTGTGATTCGGCAAGTGAAAGCTCAATCGTTCCACTGATGGTGTCCTAAACTGTATATCAAAACCGAACAACCGCCACGATGCTTCACACGGCGATATGTACCTACAATCATAGTACATACTGATTTCATCAATAACCTGCGGTCCATCTTGATCATTGCTGGTCCTGTAAAACTCTGCTGTAACCCTGTCGTGACCCTTGTTAACGTACTTGAACAGGTACTTGATTGAACAGGACTGATTGCACCATTCAACATTAATATGAGCCCTATACTTTAACAACAAATGCCTATTGTGTAGTACAACGTACCTATTATCCAAGTTAATCCCATTGCGCGTCACGGAACGACCATTGTCTCTTCTCCGATATATAGGATAACCATCCTCATCAAAAGTTGTGCAATTAACAAACTTTTTGGGGAAATGTTTAGTACATTTACCATTCGACATACATGGAGAAGTCAACCTGGCTTTCCCGCAAGGTCCATGCATCATAAACTCCTCAACAACTTTGTAGTATTCTGCGTCAGCTTCTTGATCAGGTAACTCAGCTGAAATAATGTGGTCCAATTTTTCGACAGAATGGGTTCCATTGATTTTATCCAGAAACAGGAGAATATGAGCATGCGGTAATCCTCTTTTTTGGAACTCTATGGTATATATCACTGTTAACAAATAAGAAGAAATAATAAATTAGAATAGAGCAAATAATAGGTACAGTGAATTTTCTCGCACATCTTGAAATAGCGGCATTTAATTAACGTACCTCCCATTACTGGTCCAAATAACTTGTTCTTCCTACAGTCTGAGATTAGAGCATCCAATTTCATTTTGAATAATCTACATATGATGTCAGGACGATCTTCAGGTTTTAACTTTCTATCATTCAAAAAGCGTTGTACCTCAGGCCACTTGGGGTTGCATGTGAATGTGATAAACAGATCAGGATATCCGACCAATCTACATATCGCCATGGCGTCCTGGTAATTTTGAATCATGTATCTAGCACCCCCTGTAAAACTCGAAGGCAATATTATTCTCTTTCCTTGAGTAGTGGGGTCAACTTCACCGCGTGTTAATGCATCATTCAAGCAATTATACGATTCGCACCTCAAACTTTTTTGGTGTGTCCTTATATAGATTAACCTTCCTGACTCCACCATTGTATAGGCATCTACCAGAAATTGTTGGAATAACCTCTTTGAATGCAATAAAGTAGATACCTCAGAGACCCTCGACATTATACGGTATGCAAAATATTCTTGAGGACTTATCCTTTGACGACCAGTTGTGTTTCCTTTTAATGTAGAGAAGGGGATGTCTTCCCTGTATCCGTCCTCACCATACGGAAACAACAGAGGGTATTGCATCGGCAAGTAAGCTGGATTTAATTCACTAATTCTTTGCAAGAGGCCACTTTTCGTCTCCACCATAATGTCCCGTTCTCCAATATTTGTATCAATATCACCGACAATTAATGCTGCCACTTCAGAAACTTGCGGCAAATTGTATGTTCTGGCATCCTTTGATCTCTTCCCAAGCAATTTTATTTTGACCTCAGCAAGTGGATTCATTTGTAGCTCAGATCGTGCCATGCGGAATGATTTGACCAAGACATTACATGTATCCAACACTTCTTGAATATCATTAACAATCTCTACATGGATTCCATTTTGCTCACCATCTGGCCTAGAAAGAGATAAAAAAATCAATTGAATTATGCACATATAATATGAATGGATGTGCGGTATAATATGCTTGTAAGTATACATATAATTAATTAACAGGTACGTACCTTACAGAATTGATACGATTACTAAGTTCATTATTAGTATCATATATATACAACTGGGCAAAATGGGGTTTTTTCCCGTCGACCGGCAAGAGACTACCAATGTAGTGAAAGTTTTGGCCATTTATCCTGAAAATTGGTGGACCACCGTTCTTGTTCACGCTTCTATCTATTTTACCACCCATGGACGTGAAGCAAAACATACTATTGTATGTTCTAATGTTTTGCAGGAATTGCTTGCTTTTTTCTCCTTCTCCAAAAAATAGATTGTAAATTGCATCTGGTGGCCTCAGGTTTGGTGGCAATTTAATCTTACCGTTGTTGCAACACATTGAATATCTTGGGGTGCCATGAATAACTGTTTTGTTTATCCTTTCTTCGTGCCAAAACAGCGCTCCACAATGTTGACACTTGTTATTTGCATCACCAAGATCTTTGTATTCAACTACATTGATAATTAAATATAATTTAGGTCAATTATATAAGATGACCTTAAACATTTCATATTATGCATACACGTATTGAACTGATTATTATCAAAAAGGTGAATGCGATTGGTTTCTACACTAAACATAATAACGTACACATAAAATAATTTTGAATTTACGTAAGATTCTAAATAATAAAGGAATTACCATTTGGAATATGTTGTATAGGTTGTTGCGGAATTTCGACCAATCCTACGATACAGTAATACATTTGATTTAAACAACTAAATACATAAACTTGAACATTTTTTTTGTAAAGTAACTTCGCAAATGTTAGTGTATGTTGAACTTACCACAAGTGTCTTCCATTTGTTCTAAAATGCGATTAGTATTGCAAACTTCTTCAAAATCTTGAAACAAATCGCGGTTGACCACATTATCTTGGCTATGGTCTTTACCCTCATTCATGCATGGACTCTTGTTGCATTGTCTGGTAGCGACTTTATTTTAAGTAGAAAAAAAAAGGTCAATAAATAAAAATAACTACTTAAGCAAACTACAAAATAGATCGAACTTTAGAACTTACGGTTTGATATATTTTGTAGAGGTGATCGTGTGCTGTTCGACATAGTTATTGTACCCTCTGCAACAAATGAAAATTTTTTGTGTCTGTCATTGATGATATCCGAGTTCTGATATGAAATAAATAATATTAAGTATATGCCTTAATATAACTAACCGGGAAGTGTAGAGCTTGTTGTACAGGATGAATAGGGAGTTCTGCCGCCTAATACAAAATGTCTGCAGTTACTTTTGCTTGTCGTATATTCCATGAGGCATGTACTCATATTTATATTTATACTCTCTGGATTCACTGCAGGTTTCCAATAATGTTAAAAAAAAAATTAATAAATTTTAAACAGTGTATTAGACCTAAGTAAATGCCAAACGGTATTACATTTGAAAAGACATGAGCGTTTACCTGTTGTTAGACCACTTTTTGGTGTATCACTTGAAGTACCCACTTGTAGTGGTGTGTATTCCGTATGTAACTTTGAGCTATTTTTTTTCAAAATAGCGTTATGAGTACTTGTAACCGGAGAATTTTCAACATTTTCTGCAATTAAAAGGTGCAAATATTCATAGATAAGTACCTTTACTTTTAAACATAACGATATGATTATCAAAATAATTCCAAATAAAATACATTTGTAATATACTAATTTCTGAAAATTGAGCTACGTAAGTTATATATTGTGAAAGTGACTTTTTATTCTACCTAGTGTACATAATTGTATATAATGTACCATAAGTCTAAAAAATTATAACTTAAGTGATTGAAATAAATTACATTTAAATATACTTTGAGTATATTAAAAATGTAGATGATGGACCAATTGTTCACACAATATTGTGGACCATTATCCACAACCTAGATTTGACCAATAATTCTATAATTAAAAAATCAAAGCAAAATTTACCTACTAATTATACCAAATATAATGTTAGAATACTGTCATTTGCATTTAGGGGTCTTCTAGATGGATCTGTCATTTCTTGATCCATTCTCTTCCACACTCTCGTACAGCTAGCATCCTCTCACATCTACCTAACCTTATCTCTCTATCTGTTCAGACAAAAAACCCATCTCCGACAGTAGAACTCGTCATCTGCCATTACAGTGTTGAGATCTTCTTTAATTCGTAGAAGATCTCAACCCCTAAACCGATTGCAGTAAGATCCGATTAGGGTTCATTTGTGAAAACCACACTGAGATCGGTTTAGTTGTTGTTCGAGGATCTGAACTATTAATCTCCGATCTTGGTTTTTAGAATCGGATCGGCATTTTTAAGGTTCTAACGTCAAGCTTCGTATCTCAATCTTCAATTACTATCCTATTCGACTACATCAGATGTAAGGTAAGCAAGTCTTATACCCTATCGTAGTTTGTATTTGCTTATAGATTAAGTCTTACCGTCTAATTGTAGATCAAATTTAATATTTTTTTTTTGTTTCCTAATTCTAGATCAAGCAGATCAGAAAATGGGTCCGTACAGTGTTCATGACTTAGATGCAGATTAAAGGACTGAAATGCAAGATAAGTTTAAGAGTACAAATTTGTTTGTCTAAATTCTTATCTTAGAATATTTAACATATTCTAGATCTTTAATTTGTTTTTGTATTATTCTCTATATACCTAACATCAGACATTATTGGCTTCTTAGTATTCGTAGGATATTATACACTAACCAAATGATACCTAATTTAATTGCAGAGGTGTAGTTGTTAGATCTATATGTACACATTCAAAGGTGGGAAGGTAAGCAGGCATCAACAGAGTTCAATAGGTGTAAATTTGTGCAATGAACCAAAAATTCTTAGGTAAAGTATAAATTTTCAGTTTCAAGCAGTGTTTATGGTACCTTGATTGTCGAACGTTTGCTTCCTTTTGCTTCCTATTATTGTAGAAGCAACTATTTTCCTCATATCTGAGCTGTTATTGTTTATGTTCCTGTGTTTTGTTGTGATTTTATTTGTATTAGAAATAGTTGTATTCAAATAGGTTAAGCTTTTATTGGGTTTTTAGCATTTAAGAGTGCAGTGTAATAGTAATGATGAAAAGCAATGATATGACTCTTCATTTTTTATTGGAAAACAACAAAGCCAATTAGTTTTTATGATATTGAATACACATGTTCCCACTTTCTTTTAATTATTTAGTTTATGATGTACAGAGTTTTGTTTTCTGATGACTGGTTAAGTATGCTGTACATTATCTATGCTATAAATTATTATCTAGTCTGTAAACAGATTTTGTGTTTACACTTTTTTTTGGTCTTTTCAATGTTCCAGGTTATCCTAATAACTTCATCATTTTAGTTGTGGTTTTGGAATAGATATTGTGACTAACATTTTTTCTAAGCTTTGGCAAATGATGAAGTTACAGTTCTGATGCCCTAACTGTAAACAGCAACTTAGTGGATTGCAGAGAAACCATTTTACATGTCTATTTCCCTTTTTGGTTGATAAGCCTTAATTATTATTCATATAAATAGTTTTTGCGTTTTTAATATTTAGTACATCCAATTTATCTTCTAAAGGTTATCTGATATGTACTGTGATGTCCAAGTTGTTAGGCCTAAAATGTCAAAGTTTTTTCTCATATGTACTATGCTGATCCAGTTCCAAAGCAGTCTGACTTTGTAATGCTAAAAAGAGCAGTTTTACTACTCATTATAAAATTTCAATGTGTAACAGTTTTAAATTATATTTACTTCAATGGATTGCAGTTTACCAAATGTTTTTACTCATTTATCCTAAATATATTCTATTTAGTATACTTTGAATAGAATAAAACTGAATAGAAAGAATATACTGTTTAAAGGTTGTTTTGATTGGTGGTTAAGGATTTAATTGAGTTATTTATACACTTTTCTTCTTTAGAAATTTGACCAATGTAATAGTTATGTTAAAAAAAAACACAAATAGACATTACTTTGAATTGTTTATTTTGTATTCACATTTTATCACAATTAGTCTGAATTGTATTGTTATGAGTCCTATGTACTGTTATGTAGTGTTAACATTAGGTGTGATATGTACTTTTCCTCATGTCAACAGTGTTAGTCCCAGATTGTGTACTTTGGTTTCAGATAGACATGATCATACATCTTGTAATTTGAAAACAACAATTTTATTTTGTAATGAGGAAGTTACCTGCAGTGTTACTCCTCTATTTCAAATTTACCTGTGTATGAGTTTTTAATTGACATTTCTAGGCTTGATTTGGGTTCGGTATACATTTGACTTCTTAAAATGTAATTTCATTTGAAACTGACCAAGTGAATTTATGCTGAGTTTTTTTTTTTTTTTTTTTTTTAACTCTTTAAATAATGTTTATTTAAAGATATACGAATGATAAGTGTATTGTGTTTGTTCTTTGTTTTTTGATGCATAAAAACACCAAAAATATACAGAAACTTAATAAATAAAGTCAAAAGTGTGAGCAGTTTCTTTTATTTAAAACTTAATTTCAAACTGCTTAAACTTAAAAGTGTGAGCAGTTTCTTTTTCATTATAGTTTGCCAATGATGATATTTAGAGTGTGTGAGTTAATTATTTTAATAGAGTACGATGTTTCCAATGTAAATAACTTATTTTTTTTTTTTGGTCGAGAAAAACCATTATTTTAATTACCAATGTTTGTCTGTATAAATAACCATTTTGATTGTGTATATATCTTTTTTTGTTGTATCATACTGATCAAAGACTAAGTTGTACACTTTTTGGATGATAGTTTGCTAATGCTCTACATTTAAAGTGTGTGAGTTGTAAAGTACCAGAACAGTCTGTTACCATTGTAAATAATAAGTTTGATTACATTTGATAGAGTCCAATTAAGAATTCAGACTTAATAATTGATAGAGTACAGTTTTCAAATAGCAGATTGCTACAGATTAGTAATTGAAAACCCTTGTGTGTTACACTGGTTGAATGTGTTTGCTTCCTTAACTACCATATTCTTGTGCTTGATTCCTTGTGCTTGATTCCTTGTGATTGATTCCTTGTGCTTGATTCCTTGTGATTGATTCCTTGTATTTGATTCCTTGTGGTTGCTTCTTTCTTGTCCTGCATTCAGATTCATACATCTAACAGTATATGTAATAAACATAGTGTAATGAATGTTTACCAAAAATCATAGGTAAAAAACAAAGGTAAATAGTCTAATCATAGATCTCAATAACATGAAATTGTTCAGGACAAACACAGTCCAATTTAACATGGCAAATGATCATTTTAAAAATATTAAAAAAAAAAAACCACAATAATGTGGTAATAGTTTGTAGTATCCCAGAACAGCTCAGATTTTTTCTTGTTTAACCACCACAGTTTTTCCCTTCTTGCCTAGAGGATGAAAACTGGTCCATAAGCGATCGCTTCACACCATCTGCCTCTGAATGATCATTGTCTAGGCTTTGAGACTGATGTAGATTTAATGGACTGTTGACCCTCATTGTCTCCATTTGAAGCTTCCTGCATATTAAAATAAAGTTTAGTCTAAAACCTGTCAACCATAAGATTAAAACTGTACAACTTTATTTGACTTTATAAAATAATCAAAACCTGATCCGAGTCCTCCTCTTCCTCCTCGTCCTCATCTAACATTTTTGATATCAAGTCCTTGTCTTGGTCTTCAATCAGTTTAGAACAGTATGCTGACACTAAGGCTTCATCCCTTAGAACTTTCATAACAGTGTACGCTGAATTAGCTCCTTCATGAACTCCATTTTTAATGATATCCTAAATACCATTCTCATACCCACTAATGTTTCCAATTCTTTTGGAATGTCAGAAACCTAACAAAAAAAAATAACATACATTCTAGTAAGAAATATCATCTCATACTCTGTATGTACGTGTTTAGTTTAGAAGAAATTTAATTTTACCTTATTATACTTTGTGTACAAACTGTGTGCTGGGATACCAACTAATTCAGAACACTCCCTATCCCATAATAGGGAAGGGAGCATCATCTAGACCTTTATCTAGAACAATAACTCTGACCGATACCTTGCCATTCCTTCTTTATATTTCTTATCACAATTGGTACAAATCAGTTCACCTGATTCGTCTGAAAGTTTCTGTTACATCCCGGTGACATGCAAGAAATGTACATCCATCCGAAAGAACCTTCATTGCAACAATTTCAGCAGGTACATAGAACTCCCCATTCTGCATATTTTTTTTTTTTTGTTTTAAACTAATTGGTTAGTCTTTCATATGTAATCTATCTTATTATAATAAGAGATAGGTATCCAAACTGTATTTATGACTCTTTATAAATATAGAGACTAACCTGTTTCTTTTTTCAACAGATTAGATACTGTAGTTACAGTCAAAGCACCCTGGTAAAGTCATCTAGGCCTGCTGATTGAGACAGCACTGTTGCTGTACTTATACTGCGCAAAGGACTGTTTGGAGCAGTTAACCTACAGGTAAAATTAATAAACAATTGTATAAATGTGTAAAACAATAGTTTTGAAAATGTAGAGTGTAGATAAATAAAAATTTAGGCACTTACTGAGACCTAAAATCAGCAAATTCCTGGTAAGATGCATTGAAATGAAGTTGGGTAGCATCATAGCAGCTAGTGATTCTGACTTCACCTATTTAGCATGATAGATGTAAATGAAGACTGGGCAAACCTAGAAATAGTGTAAAAGAATAACCTAACATTATAACTTACCATTGACCACCTTGCCCGACATAGCTGTAGTAGAACCAAAATTAATGGTTCTTTAAGACCTGCATCATAGTAGGGTAGCATGGCAGCAACATGACTGTCCCACACAGTGCACTGTAAGGTATTTCCCCTATAGGCAAGTGTGTTAGAAAAAATTTAATGTCTTGAAATATAGGAACAGATTTGTAATATGAAACTTACTCATTATCAGCCATTTTAAAGTCTGAGTTTTGCTGGTCTACCCACTATTATCTTGTCAACTGGGCATGGATCTCTACAACTCTGCCTATTAAATCTGTATCATCACAAAATAAATGAATAGTAGACGAAATACAAAATAGTTCAAAGAAAAATAGCAAAAATAAGATCAAAATACTTACCAAACAGAACCTTGTCATTCACTTGAGTAGGGTCTTTCAAAGAGTCATAGTTTTTTAGTTGAAACATCTTAGTAGGAAAACTTTGGATTTTATGGCCTTAACCTGAGTCTTATAGTTTGGCCTGATCATATACTTGTGATCACAAGTTTTGTACATATAGTAGTGGGTGAAGACCAAAAAATTTTTGACTGAATACAGCTTCCCTTCTATGAAAACATTGTTATATTTTTTCACATCGTTATTTTGCATGTTCAAATGAATGAAAGTTCCCTGCAATAATGTTAGTGAAAATAATAAACATTAGAAATAAATAAATAACCCTAAACCCTAAACCTTAAACATTGAAGAGAAAACAAAAAGTGTAGATTTAATATCTGTTTAGCGCCTTGATTTGGTAGAGCAAGAAAATGGTTTAGAGACTTTAAACAGTAAAATAAAATATTACACACTATACTAAAATATAGCTCATAAGGATAACCTGGAACACAGTTAAACAGTGAACAGAGTACAAAAATGTGTACATCAGAATTCTGTTTAAAGCCTAGATAATGTAGAGCATAGATAACATAGAGCATAGTTAATCAGTGAACAAAACAAAAATGTGTACATCAAAAATTTGTTTAAAGCCTAGATAATGTATAGCATAGTTAATCAGTGAAAAGAAAACAAAAATCTGTATAGCAAAAACTGCTTAAAGCCTAGAAAATGTAGAGCATAGATAATGTACAGCTTAGTTAAACATTAAAAAGAAAACAATAATGTGTAGATAAAAATTCTGTTTAAACACTATATTTGGTTGAGCATAAATCTGTGTAGCCTAAAAAATAAACAGTAAAAGAAAATATTAAACTGAACATCATACCTCTTATCGCAAAACAACACTTTCGACTCTTAATCTCTGTAGACCTTTTTCAGGGATTTCGTAACATCTAACACACTTTACTCTGATGGCTTTCTCCCTATCGAGAGGACCAATATCCTTTACAGCTACGTACATTGACATGGTTTCTTTGCTGATTTGTTTTTTTCTTTCTGTTTGGAAGGGATACGAACTGAAGATAAGGTGGAGTGGGAGTGGATGTCTCCATAGTCATATGCTTATATACAATGTAATACTGCATTTCAAAATCTATGATGTTATCTTGGAAGTATGAATGCTGCGGACAACCTTTCAGTTTTCAAGAGCATGGTGATCAGACTTGAGTCTTTATTATGAGTGTATTTATATTTATTTATTCGAGTTTGAGAAGTATGTTTTCGAAGAAGTCTTTTAATAAAGAGTTCTTTAGAAGTCTGTAACTAATAGAAGTCTATTTAAAATGCTTTATTTTAGTTGGTATTACCAAAAAATTAGCCGGC